TCTGGTATAGAAGTTCCTATAAAAATAGGAAATGCCCTAGAAAATCTCTTCTTTTTAGGACTTAATCTTATTCCAAACGAGATCTCTCTTATTTTTTTCAACATTTTTCATACTGATTCGAGATTGGAAATGATTACGATTTTTATAATAGAATAGAGTACTATACTTTCCCAAAAGCACATAAACAAACGAAATTTGGAGTCACATATATAATGATTCAAAACCAGCATTGGTCAAACATGAATTAAAGGAGATTGTTTTCCTTTCCTCATTATTGTTTGTATTTGTATTGTTTGTAACTGTCCACTTGATTTGGTTCAATTGTTTTCCTTTCCTCATTATTGTTTGTATTTGTATTGTTTGTAACTGTCCACTTGATTTGGTTCATCATTAATGTCTCATCTTTGTAGATATGTATTTGTATTGTTTGTAACTGTCCACTTGATTTGGTTCATCATTAATGTCTCATCTTTGTAGATAAATTACATATGCAAATTTGCCTATTTTCCCATACAAAATCAAGAAATTTGTAATACTTCTCTTTGGGCTACCTACCCCAATTCTAGTAAATTTTTGGTTTCAAAATCATGACATGAAACCGGTTAAAAACTCCACCACCCTAACCCAATGCAAATCAAATGCACTAGTAAATCACATGGATCTATGAACGACTTACTGTATTTGATTTGTGGCCAAGCTAGAGTTTGAGAATTGTGGCCAAGCTAGAGTTTGAGAATTTAGTAACTTTCATTGTAAACATTGTCAAATAGACTTTTCTCTTGATATACCTTATCTAGTACAGCACAAGACTACTACTAAAGTAGTCTGGTCAAACATGAATTAAAGGAGAAACAAAGCATTGGTCAAACCTAGGATTTTGTGTCCAATTCAACAAACAGCCAAATAATTTATTTAAAAATTAAAAGGTATGACTGTAATTTCATTAAAAAACCATTCCTCTCTCTTTTATATATATTAGCCATAGGAAGAGTAGATTCGATATTCTAAAATTCTCGAAATTTTAACTCCACAAATATTCCCATATTTCATTTATAACGTTTCAATTTTGATCTCTGACAATTTTGTATAGTCGTGGTTAAGCTTTACCGTTTACGGTCGTCAACTCAGTTCGTTCTTTCTTTACCACTACCGACAACTGATACATTTGAAACTTCTTTAAGACGTAGTGTTCTCGCCATCGAGTCATGGCAACAGTGGTCAAACAAACTAAAATTTCTTTCATACTAATACATGAATTCATGTATAAGAGAAATGTCAAATTTTTTTAGTTTAACAATATGTTTGGCGATGGATTAAAACAACATTTTAATGCTAAAATGGATTATTAGCATACAAACTGAACGTTGATTTCAATATTTTCTATTTGTTTCTTATTTTTTATTGTCATTATCATAAATCAAAATAATATTGATAATGAATATTCTCAATTAACTATATAGTATATATGGAAACTTGTTAAATATTTGTAATAAACTTTGAACTCTAAAAAAGAAAAAAAAAATCCCATCTAATAATCTTATACCCAATGTTTTTGTTTAGAATAATGATCTAATTAGAATAAGAAATTAATTATTAATTATTTTAACATTTAAAAAGTATTCCATTAAAAAGTAATTTATATTTGAGATGGTCTGTGGAAGGTTTGTTATTACTATAAGTTATATCTTACATCTCTCTTTCTTTTTATTTTATTTTATTTTATTTTATTTATTTTTTTTTTTTATGCATTTTGTTGTAATTATTTAGATTTTTGTTAGAAAATAAATACTAAAAATATTTTACTTATTATAGAATCAGGTGACCCTAAATTCAACCTACTCAGAATTGCTACATGCTCATGTAATGTGCAAATATAACTCTTAAAAAAAAAACATCATTTATAACATGTGGGGTCAAGTTTGGAACTTAAGAGTTCTCCTTAGGAATTGCCCAATGTGATTTTGTACACGTAGAATCTTGTCAGCGACCAAGAGTACATGTGGGGAATCCCTTATTTCATGGATACCTCGTTAGTCATCCTAGGAGGTAAATCCGTATGTATCGTGAGGAATGTTTTTTCCCATATCTTGGTTTCACTGCCTAATGTTTTCCAATGGCCCCCAAACTTTACTACCTTATACAAACTCATGAAATAAGGATTCATGCAACATCTCATAATATTTGGAGGTCATTTAGGGATTGAACCGTAGGTAGTTTTCCTTGGGGGTACTATGGTCATTTTTCTTCGTTACTTGGTTTTCCTACTTAACCTTATTTAATGGCCACCAAATTTCATAATTAATCTCAACATGTTATAATATGCAGAGTATTAAAATTTCATAAGCAGCGGAGTTCATTTAGCGGGTTATTTTAACCATCTCCAGTAATTTGATTGCTCGAGGGTCTTAACTAACTGTTCTTTAGATTTTTCTTACATGTAATGTTAAATACATTAAACAAACACCATAAGTCTAAATTATCATCCACCCAAATTTTGTAACTACCTAAAAATAAATGAAGTTTTATTTTTCTTTGAGGTGACATGAATTGCAACATTTTGTTATAATTTGAACAATATTTTCTTCACATTTCCCTTGCAGTTTATTTTGTATGGTTGGTGTCTTGGTTATATCCCTTATACTTATGATTATTTACCCCTTTTCTATATACATTGAAGTGAGAGTAGTAGAATGTTAAGTGCCTAAACAAATTAGAAGGGATAACATTACAAAAAGGTCCCTACTAAGTATATAAGTTAAATTACTTAGGATCTTATACCTATTTTTATGGTTAAGAATTATTGTAAAATATTTCAAAGTAACCCGAGAATGTTTAGGCCCCAAACAAAGGCGGGTGAATAATGACAAAAATACTTTTTTTATGCGTTTAAGATATTTTATGCCTAAAATGGACTCCAAATGACTTAAGAATCTAAATTATGGATAATTATAATGATATGAAAGACTATGTAAGATTTCTTCGTAATTGGATCAAATTTAGATCCTAAAGCACGATTGGAGTGGAAAGAGACAAAAATACACGTAGGATATCGTGATGTTTTTATGTATTTAACAAACTTGAAATGATATGAAATTTTATATGAGACTCATTTATAAAATTGTAAACGATTATATATGACTTGAAATTTATTAAAACATGTTTGGGTATAAGAAAATACTATGATAGAAAATTATGAAAATAACCCTAATGAATCTTTTCTAAACATTGATGATATTTAAGAACTCGAAGTGACATGATATGTTGTAAGTTGCTTATTTAGTATACTATTAAAGATTCATGCATGTAATTACAAAATGTTTATAGTTATGACCTATGTGCTTGAAATGGAGCTTAAAAATATCACATTGTGACTTGTGCCTTAAGTTTTGGGAATAAACTTTAGAGTTAGAACGAAAGAACTTACGAACATAAGATGTCGCTCTAAGGTCAAGGACCTTGTAAGATATGTTGGTCCCCGAGAAAGTAAAACTCAAGTACTAAGCCACTAAGACTACTATGTTCTACTCTAACGATAACCTAAGTCACCCTATTCTTTCCACAATGATTTGCATTATGATCACATGTTTTCATCGCCTAGATCAGATGCCCTACACATGTGTCTTCTAGGACATCATGTCCATGTTTCTTGCATGTTTACCCTACCTATGTTTCTTGCTAAGATATTCTAACCATGTTTTATTTGGAGCATGTCCTCTCTCTCTAACAAGTTTAGGTTCTCTCTCTAACAAGTTTTTGTTCTCTCTAACAAGTTTAGGTTCTCTCTCCATTACAAGTTTAGGTTCATTATATTCTCCAACCATTTGACCTTTTTAGGTCTTCTACGGGAGTAATTTTGGACAGGATTAGGTACAAGGATTGACCAAGTATAATGACTCATGACCCATGACTTAAGACCAAGATCATCATGAGAAGAAACTATGATAAGCTCTTGGTCAAATCATAGAGATACTACCTTAGCACCCACCACGGACACGATTAAGAACCGATAAGTAGGCTACAAAGAGGGATGACAACCTTGTTTTTCACAATCAAACATGATCTCAAAACTACAAAGAATTACAATAACCTCACTATAACAAATGTGGCTTTCAAAACTACAAATACTCTGGCATCCTTATTCCTATGCTATAAATAGGCTGTATGAATGAGACAAGTAATCTAATCAGAGTATAATTCATGGAGAAGAAAATATCTTCGGTGTTATAAAATAATAATATTGAGTTCATAAAATAACATAAAATATCAATTTATTGCACATCAAAAGTACCATAAGCTAGCAATGGTATGTTTTTATTTAAAAATATAATTATTCTTAATGATCCTCAAATGAAGGGAGGGAGGGAGAAATTAGAAATTGAATAGTGAAACATTCTATATTTGGAATACTCCCAAACTCACCAAATTTAACACCCTTTCTAAATTTGGTGGTCTTTTCTAGATATAGTTTTCCCATCAAACTATATATAGGGCTTTACATTGTAAGAAAAATCCAAGCACCAACATCTTAGCAATTGCTACTCTTCATCATTTGTGAAACGAGCTTGTAACCTTACAATTTTAAGACACTCCACAATGGCCATCGGCAAAGGTTTCAAGCTCTTTCATACCCTTTTCCTAGTGATTTCTTGGCAGTATTGTGCAAAAGTGGGTGCCACTTTTAGTGATGTCACCGGTGTCGTAAATCTCGATCATCAATTTTCATTTCGTGCCTTTGCATCACATGACACACAAACAAAAGATGGAAGCATTGCTCTAACCCCGGAGGCTGCATTCGATGGAAGCATTGCTCTAACCCCGGAGGCTGCATCCCCGACCAATGCACCAGTTGGAGGCAGCATTGCTCTAACCCCGGAGGCTGCATTCGATGGAAGCATTGCTCTAACCCCGGAGGCTGCATTCGATGGAAGCATTGCTCTAACCCCGGAGGCTGCATTCGATGGAAGCATTGCTCTAACCCCGGAGGCTGCATCGGATGGAAGCATTGCTCTAACCCCGCCCGAGGGCTCGTCGGATGGAAGCAGCATTGCTCAAACCCCGCCCGAGGGCTCGTCGGATGGAAGCAGCATTGCTCAAACCCCGCCCGAGGGCTCGTCGGATGGAAGCAGCATTGCTCAAACCCCGCCCGAGGCCTCGTCGGATGGAAGCAGCATTGCTCAAACCCCGCCCGAGGGCTCGTCGGATGGAAGCAGCATTGCTCAAACCCCGCCCGAGGGCTCGTCGGATGGAAGCAGCATTGCTCAAACCCCGCCCGAGGCCTCGTCGGATGGAAGCAGCATTGCTCAAACCCCGCCCGAGGCCTCGTCGGATGGAAGCAGCATTTCTCAAACCCCGCCCGAGGCCTCGTCGGATGCAAGCAGCATTGCTCAAACCCCGCCCGAGGCCTCGTCGGATGCAAGCAGCGTTGCTCAAACCCCGCCCGAGGCCTCGTCGGATGCAAGCAGCGTTGCTCAAACCCCGCCCGAGGCCTCGTCGGATGGAAGCAGCGTTGCTCAAACCCCGCCCGAGGCCTCGTCGGATGGAAGCAGCGTTGCTCAAACCCCGCCGGAGGCCGCGTCGGATGGAAGCAGCGTTGCTCAAACCCCGTCGGATGGAAGCAGCGTTGCTCAAACCCCGTCGGATGGAAGCAGCGTTGCTCAAACCCCGTCGGATGGAAGCAGCGTTGCTCTAACCCCGTCGGATGGAAGCAGCGTTGCTCTAACCCCGTCGGATGGAAGCAGCGTTGCTCTAACCCCGTCGGATGGAAGCAGCGTTGCTCTAACCCCGTCGAATGGAAGCAGCGTTGCTCTAACCCCGTCGAATGGAAGCAGCGTTGCTCTAACCCCGGAGGGCGCATCGGATGGAAGCAGCGTTGCTCTAACCCCGGAGGGCGCATCGGATGGAAGCAGCGTTGCTCTAACCCCGGAGGGCGCATCGGATGGAAGCAGCGTTGCTCTAACCCCGGAGGGCGCATCGGATGGAAGCAGCGTTGCTCTAACCCCGGAGGGCGCATCGGATGGAAGCAGCGTTGCTCTAACCCCGGAGGGCGCATCGGATGGAAGCAGCGTTGCTCTAACCCCGGAGGCTGCATCCCCGACCAATGCACCAGTTGGAGGCAGCATTGCTCTAACCCCGGAGGCTGCATCCCCGACCAATGCACCAGTTGGAGGCAGCATTGCTCTAACCCCGGAGGCTGCATCCCCGACCAATGCACCAGTTGGAGGCAGCATTGCTCTAACCCCGGAGGCTGCATCCCCGACCAATGCACCAGTTGGAGGCAGCATTGCTCTAACCCCGGAGGCTGCATCCCCGACCAATGCACCAGTTGGAGGTAGCATTGCTCTAACCCCGGAGGCTGCATCCCCGACCACTGAAGGCAGCATTGCTCTAACCCCGGAGGCTGCATCCCCGACCACTGGAGGCAGCATTGCTCTAACCCCGGAGGCTGCATCCCCGACCACTGGAGGCAGCATTGCTCTAACCCCGGAGGCTGCATCCCCGGCCACTGGAGTAACCCCAGAGGCTGCATCCCCGGCCATTGCACCAAGTAGCACACAAGCTTGAGAGTAATTGTTAAGCATGGATGTTTCTTTGGCTATTAACAAAGAAAAACATAAGCCAAACAACGATTTTGTTGGCAAATTCATTATTTCTATATTGTTTTTCTGAATGGAATCATTTTTCTACATTTTTTTCTCTATTTATCTATTTTAATTAAAGATACTTTTAAAATTGAATGAAACACGTTTTTAATATGGTATGACTTACCATCTACTCCATAACCAATGAATTTATCAATAAATTAATACAAAATATCTCTAATACATAACTAAATTGATTCTAATTCTATTTTATCAATCTCGACAGGTAAATAATAATAGGTTATTATGATTTTGAGAAAGTCGCTATAGTGAAATCGGTAGACACGCTCCTCTTAGGAAGCTGTACTTAGAGCATCTCGATTTGAATTTGAGTAGTGGCATGCCATATTCTACTTATGTTTCAAAATTTTGACGCTGTATTATCATATATTCCTCATCCAAGACATCAGTCAAACACAAGATTTTGTAGATTCAAAGATGAATCGTTTGTCCAGAGATAATAATGATTCAAAACTAAGCATAGTTCAAACACAGGATTTTATGAAAAGTTAAAGTGTAAAACTTTAAAAGGTAAGACTGTAATTTTGTGTCGAATTGAAAAGTCATTAAAAAGTAAAACTGTAAAAGGTAAAACTGTAATTTTGTGTCGAATTGAAAAGTCATTGTAAGACTGTAATTTAATTGTGTATATTCCTCTCTCTTATTCTGTGTCGAATTGAAAAGTCATTGTAAGACGGACCATGTCTTTATTTGCTACTACCCCATAAACTTAAAATCCATAATCCCAATTCTGTCTTTATCTGCTACTGTCTTTAAGTTTATAATAAATAGAATATAAGGTTCCTCCTCCAAATGAAATTCAATGGGATCCAAAGAGACCATGTCTTCATCCATAGGGTTCCAAGTACCTGGATCAATCAAAAGTTCGATTCTATCTGAACTACTCATTTTTAAATTCGCCAATTTTATACGCCTGCGACTTTGCTCTTCAATCCACAATGATCGACCTAGTTCATACTCCTTTATAGCCATCGACAATTGATACATTTATAACTGCTTTAAGTTGAAGTGTTCCTCCGCCATCGAGCCATGACGGCGATGGTCAAACAAACTAAGATTTCAGCCATCGTATTTAAGACATCCAAGGGTTGAACAGAAAGACATCCTCTAAGATGTTGGAATGACTATTAATTTGTGATTCAAAGATGAATTGTTTGTCGAGAGATAATAATGATTCAAAACTGAGCATAGTTCAAACATAGGATTTTTTATCGAAATATGGGATGATAGTAATTTCGTAAGATTTCAATTTTGTTCTCCGACAATTTTGTACAACTGCGATTAAGCTCTGCCGTCTACCGCCTTCGACCCAGTTTGCTCCTAATTTACGGCCACCGACAATTGATACATTTGTAACTTCTTTAAGCCATAGTGTTCCCCACCGCCATTGAGTCATGACAATGGTGGTCAAACAAACTAAAATTTCAGTAGGCCTATTTAAGAATTTAAAGATAATGCATGAATTTATGTATAAGAGAGATATCAAATTTTTTTAGTTTAACAATATGTTTGGCGATAGATTAAAACAACATTTTAATCGACTTTTTGCGGACAATACATGCTTTATACTCGATGAGCCATGTTGATTTCAATATATTCTATTTGTTTCTTATTTTTTATTGTCATTATCATAAATCAACATAATATTGATAATGATTATTCTTTGTAAAATATTTGTAATAAACTTTTTTTTTTTTTTGACTAGAATCATAATTAATTATTTTAACATCTAAAAGTATGTAATTAAAAAATAATTTATATTTCAGATTTAACGAGAAAGATGTCGCTTGATAATTTGCTGATACAGTCTTCCTTCTCTTTTATCTTTAATTTGTTGTAATTATTTAGATTTTTTTTATTTTTTATTTTTTAAAAATTAAATACCAAAAAAATTTTACTTGTTAATCTAGAATTTTTAAAAGAATTAAATAGAGAGAAAGAGGGAAGATTGTGTACAGAATTAAAAGAAGAATGAGTGAAAGAAAATTGGGTAAAGTGTTACGTTAATAAATGGGTTGAATGAAAATAATATTATAACGAATGTATATAAATATTTGTATGAAAATAATATTATAAAAAATATATATAAACATTTCAAAATTTTACCGTGGCAAAGATGTTAATGTTTGCATGAAATCTAACACATAGATCATTGTAAATTAGATAAATAATTTTTTAGAAATTCAAACATATGATGTGATTGGCTCACCTAGGTTGACTTGAATTTTACTTTAACGAATTAGTTAAGTAAATCAGTGACAACCACTTAAACTAATTAGGTAAGTAACCTTGGGGCTCCAACATACACCATAATATTTTTTATATTATGCTTGTGTGCTTTATGCATTGCAATGTGACGTTTTATTATGTATACAATGTCATGTCAATTATATCATGTTAGGAAGAAAATGAAATGCTATGTAAGAATAGAATTGAAAAATGATGTAACAGACTATGTGATGTTTACTAGGTATACATAGTGCATGTATGGAATATGTCATGGATGAAATGAGAAAAAGAATGATGTTAATACTATGTTTTAAATGTAAATCATGGGCAACTCATGCATGTAAGTGTGTCATGTGCATCGGGATACTCCCCCATTATGTTATGTTAATACGGATGTGTGCCTAAGATATACATGTTTTCCATGATATCATTGGGGTCTTTCCTTTTCAGTGGCATTTGGCAACGTGTAACCCATTAAGTACATGTGACGGTTTAAAGATAGGTCTCAATCATGTTATGTGTGTGATTGCATTGCTAAACCCAACCGTCGGATGATTTACTGAGTATTTCGTAAAATACTCAAGCCACGTGCTTCTCTTATACTTTCCACGTAAAGGTAAAGCTCCACGCTCGGATGACGGTGAACGCTGAAAATATCATGGAATTCAAAATAGGGCATGATAGAGCAGTAGAACGCATTGAATTTTATTTAGTAGTTGGGAAGTGTTTTAAATGCAATTTTTTTATATTTAAAAAATATGTTAGGTTTAATTTATTGTTTTAAATTAATATATAAGTCCACGAATTTATTTTTAAATTATTTATTATGAACTTTAGACTCTAAGATTAAAGCATGTCTGTGTAACGCCACTAATTTTGGCTAAGAAAATAGGGCGTTTCATATAATATTCTTCAAACAACATCTTTAATGCAAGTCACACGAGGCACACGTCTAGCAACATTCACCTTTATTGTGACACATGCATATGCTGCAGGTTAGCTCAGTTAGGCAACCGGGCTTAGGGGTGGTGGAGAGTTTACACCATTCCTCCCTCTAAGTTTTGAACTATTTCAAATATGGGAGTGTGAACATGCTTTAGGCAAACAATCATACGCTGTCATAAAGCATCGTATGGTCTTCGATTGACACAAAATCTTGTGAGCTTTTATATTTCATATACATGGATTTAATTCTAAAACTACGTACCCAAATTCTCTCTCACTCAAGCTTTAGAGGTTAATGCTCAGGGCCTGCCTTAGTCTTGAAAAAGCCTATTTTATATAATTATGTCAAAAGCATTGCATTTGTGTTGCCTATTTCTTAGCTTGTCTTTCTTCGGTGCTCGTCCATCACTTCATGGATTGTCTATTTTGGTCGTTGCATGGTCCGATTGGTATCACTCGAGGATTTATCACTTTGCTTGTTGTTACGTAAGGGTCACACTGTTTGAAACCTTACCTCTCCAACTACGTTTAATACACTTCTCCCCCTCCATTTCTTCAAGAAACTTAAAAACTGAGTCAAAAGGAAAAGGTAGGGATTGATTTCTTACCTTCTTGTGGATTGTACGATAAGTTATTCTCCTCCAAAGTTCATCAAGAATTGTTTTCCTCATCGGAGCTCAACCTAGAAAAAGCTTATTGGCTAGCCATTTCTAAGGGTTTCTCGGGAATCGCTTCTTTATTATTCCCTCTAGCTAATTGAATTTGTTTGGGGGAAAGTCTTCAAGGGTGTGACTTTAATTTAGAGAAATTTTCTTTAATCAGCAAATCACCTGAAAAACCAAATTAAACTTGTTTTTTGGCAGCTTGATCTATAATGTTTTCAATTTCTTATCAAAATTATCCATCTCAATCCTCGTAAACAAAAGGAATGCTCAATTTAAAGAAAAATAGACCGTAGATAGGGATTCGATACTTACCCCCAATTTGAACCGAAAATTGACTTTCTTCGATTACACACGTTCTTGAGGTTAATTCTCTTTGTTGTCTGCAACAAGAATGTTTCTTGAAGGTTAAAAAATGGAATGTGATTGGCCTTGCTCGATGAATTTGTGTGTATGGTCGGATTAGATTTTCACTCTTTCTTTGAACTTCTTCAATGACCATTCGTACGGGGGAATGGGTTCTAGGCTCATTCGGCGCTCGGTTCCTTTGTAGAACTTGTGGGTAATCTTGATTAGATGGCTTAGGAACAAGTTTGAAGGGAAATGGTGGAGAATTTCTCTTAAATTTTGATAAAAATCGAGAGTAGAAAACCAAAAAACTAAATGGCTATAACTCACGATTCCAATGATGCCAAAATACACCATCTTTTAGCTTCCGTCATCAAGCATTTTGATATATGGCTTTGCAGTCTTAACATGTGCTGCACAACCAAAGATTTTTAGATTCTTGAAGTGAGGTGTCTTACCGATCCATGTTTTATAGGGGATGTAAGTGTCCAACGCCTTCATTGGTAAATAGTTTAGAAGATGAACTGCGTCCTATTGCCTCGCCCGAGAAAATTATCCAAACTTGCATGCTCTTCAGTAAGCTTCTTGTAGTGTTCAATATGGTGCGACTTCTTCGCTCGACAACACCATTTTATTGTGGATTGTATAGTAAAGTGAGTTGATGCTTGGTGCCTTCCTCTTCGCAAAATTTTGAGAAGTTATAGTTTAAGAATTCTTC